AGGAAAATATTTTTCCACCGTTTTTTCATAAAACTTAGGTATTAGTTTGATATATCTTCCTGCATCAAATGCTGCACTTAAGGAAGAATTATCGGAATTTTGACTTCTATTTTCTAGTTGTAATTTCAATTTTTCTAACTCTATTTTTTCAGCTTCAATTTTTAATCTTTCCAATTCTATTCTTTCTTGTATCTCTAATTTCTTTATTTCCAATTGAAGACGTAAACTACTTTGGTCGTCTTTTTCGTCAATATTACATAAGTCTAAGAGATTTTTATCCATTAGTTCTTTAGCGACAATACTTTTTATTTCTGCTTTTTTCATTGACGGGTTTGAAATCTGAAATCGTCTGCAATTTGTAATAGCTCCGAATTTTGTAAAACTTCGAATGATTCACCCAGATCGGTTAAACTTAAAAAAATTTCCACGGAAAAAGGCATGTTTTTGTTTTGGCCTTTTTTTTTTTGCAAATTACGTATTGAGTTTATTTTTATTTTTTTTTGCACGATATTATTGAGTTGGACGAGCCACCATTTTGTAACGTGTTGATAATTGTAACAAAGGAAAAAAATGATTTACCACAACACAGAGCTAAATCACAAACAAATATTTAATTTACTAAAACAGAACATAAAATATATACAAGATAAACAATTGTGGCCTACAAAACAGAAAACACAGAGTTACTGGCAAGGGTTACGAGGGAGAAGGAAAGGGAGTCAAATATCTTTATCACTTTAGGGCTAGTGAAGTAATCTAAGTGCTATATTTGGAAATCCACAAAGGTGTGTAAATAAATATTAATTTTTAGTTTGGTCAATGAAAATTAGTCAAAATTCTATTTACCAAATTTGTTTCATGAAATTCTCTTTTGGGTTTTGGTTGGTTGGCAACTTTTTATAGAGATTCTTTCGGCTGGATATAATAGTCCTTGAATCAAAAGCCGGAGTTGATAACAGCAGAATTTCTTTTCATCAACTGACAACCCTTTTCCAAAATCCCATTTTTATAGGGGCTAACACCTAATTTGCATATTTCTAGATGTTTCTCGAATCATCTAGATTTTTCTCGAATATACTAGAATGATCTAGAATCTTCCAAACATTCTATTTCTAATTTCTCTATTTTACAACTACTTCATCAGTGAAAACTTTTTTGTAATAACAAGTAGAACTCAATGGAATCCCTTATTATAGAAATGCATCCTCGTAACACAAGACAAAATAAAAGGCAACTATTGACAAATGCGTAGTAGTGTAAGAGTTATCAGCGTAGAGAGTGGAATCAATGACACGAATTTAAATTTCTCCCTCATCAGTTGCGTTCACTTTCTCACTAATGCCCTTAGGAAAGGCGTTAATGCATCTCTTGTCCCCCCACCCAGGCTATAGGATAAATATAAGAATAGACTGGGTTCTCCACCTTTAGTTGGCAGCCAGTCTAGGAGAAAGCCAACTCTGAGTTTAAAAACTATGGAGAAGGCAATGGGAAACAATACCACTATCTTTCCTAAGAAATCATAGCAATTCATAGATAATAACAAAATCTGTGGACAATATGATCGCTTAGGCCCTTAAGTGATGTTGCATTTTTAAATAAATGAGCTGACAATATCAAGGTAAAAATTTAAATGATCATTAACAAAATTAAAATCTTTTAAGCTTTGGTCATCATTTGCTTCGACGAGGGAAATTCTAATAATAAAACCTCCAACGCAAGGACTTTAAAAGCGCATAGGTCTCAGCCCTTCATTACACATGATCGAAGGATTTCATTACAGCGGAAAAGGCAGTCTCAGTCGTGCATACAAGTGGCTCAACGCTTTATAAATGTCCCGCCTTACTTTCGTCCACAATCAACAACCTGAAAAAGAAGTAGAACACCTTTCTGAATTTTTCTTTATCAATGTATAAAATTCACTTGATTTAACAATTTACTTTAAACATTTTATCAATAAATATACAGATTTAATATTTCTGTCGTTTTAAACTTAGAAATAATTATAGAAGTCTGTTTTCAAATGAAATTATTCCAGCAAAGACGATCTTATCTACATTTGCAGAATAAAAATGAATCTTTTGAATAAATGAATATCAACCCCAAAAGTTTTTATTTTTCTTCGTTAATAGATCCGCTTTAATTTCACGCGAATGTTGTTCCTATTCATTATACAAAGTTAATGGTTCTGAAACTGTTTCGTAGTAGAGTTTTTTTTTTTGTATTGAAGCAAATAAAGTTCGCTGGATTTGTAATTCACCCACTCCGAGCACCTGTTAGAATCTCAGCTATGGGTAAATAGTGAACAAAAACAAAACACTATGAAATTATAAAAATACATTTATATAGTAAAAATCAATTGCTGTTGTCCCTGGTCCACCCTGACCTAGAGTGGTAGCACTTGTTAGGGTCCCAGCTATGGGTAAATAGTGAACTCCCAAACAAAAACAAAAAAACTATCAAAGTATAAAATGCATTTTAAATTTTGTTTAAAAATAACAACAAAAACCTTTTTATATATAAAAAACATCAATAATATATATATATATATATATATATATATATATATATATATATATATATATATATATATATATATATATATATGTCATAATGAAACTGCCCACATATGTTTATATATGTATGAGTCCCGACGGACGACCAAGTATGTATATGTGTCTGCATACATCGATGTTTGCGTTAGTACGATGAATGACAAAACGACGAAATTCCCCCACCACTTCCACAATAACACCAATACAAGCAATTTACATAAACCCAAATTTTTTAAAACATTAATCAGTTTGTCTGACGATCGCTAAAGCGTGAAACCCAGGGTCACAAACTCACATCTATCCAACCAAATATGTTAGCTCTATCTCTCATACTGAGCGCTTTCTAATAAGTACCGCTCATATAATATATAAATAATTATACATACTTATATTTATTTATATTTATATACACTTTTCACACACACACACACACACACACACACACACACACACACACACACACACACACACACACACACACATATATATATATATATATATATATATATATATAATAATCGACTGTCCCGTCGAGATTCGACGTATGAGGGTCAAACAGATCAGTTTCCAGGAAACCGACAGCCCGACACCGGCACATGAGATTTGATTATAGTGGTGAAGGCTTCGTGCAGGACCATCCACACTTTTTGTCGAATCCATTACATTAACTTACGCGCTAATACCCTTGGGAAAGGTATGGATACTCTTCCTCTCCCTCCAGCTATGGGTAAAATAGCAGGACAGACTGGGTTCTATAGCCTTGGATGGCAACTGGTCGAGGAGAAGGACAACTCTGAATTCAAAACTTGCGGAGGGTCGTTTGGGAACCTTGTGGCACTCCATGCACCAGGTCTCTGTATTCGTCCCTTCAAAAAAAAGTATATATATATATATATATATATATATATATATATATATATATATATATGTGTATGTATGTATGTATATATATATATATGTGTGTGTGTAATTTAGTTTGCTACTGGTTGGTTGGTTTGCTGTCATTACAGGTACGAGGAAACTCTTTATTTGTTAAGTCAGCTTTCTTGTCTTAATTTTAGGAATCTGAAGATTAATCCTCTTTCATCTTATGGTTAATAATATTTAGATGGGAAACGTACTGCACAGGAATCAATGACAGTTTAATTGGATCGAAGATAAGGATATCTGTAATTCTATACTTGATGCAACCGATCTGAGGTTCATTAGTTCTACCGAAGAACATTGGAGGATATTTGGTGGTAATTAAGCCAGAAACAGAATTTATTGAGAAGGAAGTGATAGAAATTGCTTGGATACATCAGACATGGTTAAATGGGCCGAACAGAAATTGTCTTCTTGAAGAACTAAAAGCATTTCACTTGGTATTTTACAAGAATTCAACCGAAAATTACAAAGTAACGCAGTTTTACTTAAAAGATATAAACACAATAAATGAACATTATTTACATTTTTGGAACTGTTGTCCTCATCTTTGTTGTCATATTCACGACGTTTCGGCCTTCTTCAGGTGATTGGAATTTCGATCCGAAACCTTTATATCGTCCACCGGAGCAGATTGTTCTAGCTCCACGTGCCATGCCTCTTACGGGTATTTCATTTTCAGTTATTTCCCTTAATAACTCGACTCTTCAAATGTCGTGAATATGACAACAAAGATGAAAGCAACAGCCCGAAAAATATAAATAATTACAACACATCTCAGAAATATCGACAGGTACAGTAAATGAATAATTACAGCAAGAGAGGAATTTCTTTTTATATTATCGAAAGGGTATATTCTCGTAAATATAAAATAGTTAAATTTGGTATCTTTTCTTTATTTAAAATAGTACAACTTTTATCAGTGAATAAATTCAGTGGATCGAGTTAATGGAAGATTATTGGCAGCACATCAGAGCAATAACCACTCAAGAGCCAAACATTTTTGTGAAAATCTTCCACGAAGAAAATATCTAATCTAGTGATTTTAAACGTCCGTGTTGTTTTTATAGCTGTCGCCAGTACACATTAGGTATCTTTTTTTGCTGAAACATACATATTATTTAATGTGATTTGAATCTTGGGGGCGGTGGCAACTTCCTCATTAAGTTATTTAAAGGGTTGAACATTATAATTATTAACAAAGATAATAAAATTTTTGTTTCATCATCAATAATCATTTTCTTCCATGATATTCTCGAAAAAATTAAAAAAAAATTCATTTTATTACAAATCATCTTCTATAAAAACATCAAAGCGGTGTCTTTCATTGAAGACTTGAGACTTCAATCTGAAAATTAAGGAGGTTGACTCTTCAAAATATTAAGTTTGTATTAAAGCTGTAAGTGAAATATTGTCTGATAGATGCGGAGGAAAAGAGGAATTGTATAGATGATGATTGACTGATTTTGGTTTTTACGGTTTATCAACAATTTGTGAGGCATAGTTCGGATTGTAGGAGGTTACTTACAACACCCGGTGTTCCCAAGCGGTTCCCCATTTAGGTATTGACCGAATTCGACATTGCTTAACTTAATGGTGATCAAATGAGAACCGGTGTTTTCACTGAGATTTGACCATAAGCCGAAAGGTTGATGAAGAATAAAACAAGAGAGTGAAGAAGAAGAAGAAGAAGAAGAAGAAGAAGAAGAAGAAGAAGAAATGATAAAGCTGGATGAAGAGGAATTAGGTAGTTAGAAAATGATCAAGAGTAAGGGCAAATGCCAAAAGGTAAATAAGAGAGAGCTAATTAAGGAAAAAAATAAAGTGCTTGTAAAAGAAAGAAAGAAGGACGAATATGGAGAGAGATAGTGAGAGACAGAAAGATATAGGAAAATATTGTTTTATTACCGCTTATTAACGTCTTGCAGTTTATTTAAAGCCGAAACGTATTTTGTATTTTTTCCGAGTGAATATTTCATTAACCATTTTTTGAGAATACACTTCATTTTTCCAGATACAATTCCTTCTATTTAACCTAAAGCTGGGGAAAGAAATGGATTCATATACCCTTACCAAGGGTAGTTGCGTGCAAAGTGAATGGACCGAACCTGACACGGATTCGAACTCTGCTCTCCAATTTCTCGTTCATAGCCGCTATCCATTACATCACCCGAATATTCACGAAAGGCGAAGAAAGATTTTAAAAATAATAGCAGAAAGTAGCGAAAAGAAAAAGAAAGAAATATGGAGAAAGAGATATATATAGTGAGTTTAGAGAGATAGAGAAAGAGAAAGAGCGAGAGAGAGAAAGAGGGAGAGAAGGAGAGAGAGAGAAAAGGAAGAGATTAAATAAAAGAATAAGAACGTAAATTACAAGTATAAGGATACTTGTTAGAATTACATGATTGTAGATAGCCGAAGATTTTCGGATTATGTCAAACAAAAATTTGAAAATGAAGATCACGTTTCTCTCTCTCTCTCTCTCTCTCTCTCTCTATTTTTGTACAAATCTTGGAAAATCTCATCCTCCAAAAACAACAAAAACAAACTATATACATACATATATATATATATATATATATATATATATATATATATATATATATATATATATATATATAAACAAAAAGCGATTAAGACTAAAACGAAATCAATATAAAAAGTTTGCATTTCATTTTTAAAAAGGCGAGACACATTGGACTAAAATCCGATAAAAGAAAAGCTTCTAATTTTGTTCAGTGACGAAAGTCGATTAAAAAAATCTATGACAAGAAAAAAAAGCCAAGAAAAAAACCCCCCAAAAATCACGTAACCAATTAATTCCGCTAACGAAATCTTATCACGTTCAAGAAAATGGTTGTTTCCGATTTCCAAAATTCTTTGATTGATTCTAAGTTATCGATTTCTATTCTATCGTTTGTTGCAACTCCAGATGCGCTCTTCGAGTCAATATTTAACTTCTTTTTCGTTTTTTTTTTTGTTTTTTTTTTTGAGTACCTCGAATTTTGGAAGGGCACAAACATACCGACGCAGGAGTTGATGCCGAAAAAACAATCGCTATTTAACAATCAATGCTTCTCAAAAGTCATTCTCCTAATTGCCATGTATTCTTATAACACATTTGCCTACTGCGATGTTTCTCAAACTTTTTTATTTTTTATTTTAGGGCGCACTTGTAGAAAAACACTGGGCTGCACTTTAAGTTTTAATAAGGAAAAATTAGTCATGAAATTTGAAAATATGAAATTTTGATTTACTATTCCCAAAGAAGATTAGAAGCACAGATTTTATTTATTTAAAGGCATTTATGAAGAATCTGGTGTTTTTTTTTTTTTTTTTTTTTTTTTTAGGGAGGCCGATATTGACTGATTGAGAAAAACAAAAGAAAAAAAAGAATTATCCATTGAATTTAGCATCTAGTTTAAAGTGTCAAATGACACAGCCTTCACTTAGACATTGAAGGCATGAGGTTGGGTATTCTAGCTTTTCAAAAATAAAGAATTTTTAAATATACAAATAAAATAAATAATAATTCCTAAATTACTCTTCTGTTAACTTGTGGATGCGGGGGGGGGCACCTGGCTACATTTCAGGGCGTATTAGTGCGCTTGGGGTGCACCGGTTGAGTAACGCTGGTCTAATGTCGTACGATGTGATCTGAAGAAAACCGCGATCTTGCTGTCGCTTCTACAAGTTTTAAATGCTCCACATAGCCAACTTTCCTTTCCAAGCGAAATTCTTACTTCAGGGCAGACGAACGTCGAATCAAGTCGTTTTCTTTTTTTTTTTTAAATCATAAATGACTCTCATATGAGCACCTACTCTTAGAATCTATTCCCAAAGGAGGTACTATTGGAATGAAGTCACTTTTAAAATGACTGGTGTATCTCTCTTAACTGCAGCATTTAAACTTTTACAGCTTACAGGTTATAGAAAAATGTTAAATCTCAGGTTTCTGAATAAGTCTTCCTTGTACAGAAAAGTGTAACAGTACTTACCACACGCCTCCATCTTAAAGGTGTTAGAGATTGCAATAGGAAGTGTTGGATCGATGGAATTGGGGAGCGGTTTATAATTTACTTAAATATTTTTTTACTCTTTCTTTATATAAGGAATCGATATGCAATAACACTAGGTTCATAATCAGAATATATACAATGGAGAATTTTAAACTTTTTTTCACTATATTTATACTTTCATGTCTTTTTCCTAATAAAAAAATCAAGATGAAAAGAAAGTGCTTCAATGATAAAGATCTATCTATCTATCTATCTATCTATCTATCTATCTATCCCAGTCTCTTCCTATATATGTAAAAGTCTGTTAAATTTTCCTTATCAGGAAGATGAGAATTCTTTGAACTCCATTACACTGTATATTTCTGAGGTTGTGAAATTCGGGGAAGTTTCGTGTATTTTTTCGCCTTTATAAAAGTAGACAATATGTCGTTTCAGCATTTACGAAGAAGACAACAGAGGGAAAGCGTAGTCGTGTGTGCGTGATAGAGAGAGAGAGAGAGAGAGTTAGAGAGAGAGAGTAAAATAAAAAGTCAGCGAAAGAAAGGAAAAGAAAAGAAATAAGAGAGTGTGAGAAATAAGAAATAAGCTTACAAGGGTTGAAAGAAGAGAGATTAAATGATTAGAAGAATGTATTGGAAATGAGAGAGAAAAATATAAAAGAAGATATAAAAATAGAGAGGAAAAGAAAATGTGTCAAATTTTCAAAGTTCAGATGGTGTACATTATAAACCCATGATATTGACTGAAAATATAAAATGTACATTACAATAAGCGTATACAGAAAAACAGTTTAATGCTTTTATGCCAAAGTGTTTTACACACACACACACACACACACTAATAGATTTTAGAAGTGCAATTTAAAATTTAATGTGATTGTTATTAGTAAATATTAATGATTTTAAAAATATCTGAAATATTTTCAATACACTCCATACCAAAAGACTAAGTTGACTATGAGATTTTTAGACCTGTTCTTCTCCATTGCATCTGAATCGCTGCATAGAATTGTAATGGCCCACTGCTTTCTTTATTGGTTGCTGACAAGTATAAGAAGTGACTTTTTTCTGGGTGTGCTTATAAAATATCTGATGAAGATATATTTCTCTTCTTGACTTTGATTTCGATTTACTGTCATCTGTGCTGCTTTTGCAACAGGATCTTGAAAAAATGTCATTATAATTGCACGAAAATACTTTTTTTTTGTTGGTCTGCATCTCCCTGAATGAGACATATATTGCCTTCCTTTTATTAGTAAATTTTCGTACAGTTCAAAATGTTTATTTGATAGAAGCGCATTTTATCTTCTGAATGACCAACATGTACTCTTTCTATGAAAAGCTGACAATTCATGGGGGTGGGGGAAGGCATTTTGTAGCTTTTCCTCTTTATGCTTTATTATTTAGAAAATACTGGAAATAAACCCAGAGTAGAACAATGTTAAATATTTACGTGATGTCATTCAACTTGTTCGTATACTTGTCTCATAATTCGATCCCAGACACACACACACTACCCTCTTCAATTCTTTTTAACATATTCGAACTATTGCTATGACCGTTCAAAGAGCAGTGAAAAAGTCTTGAAAATGAAATCGTACGTGAATACGGGTGAGGCACCTTGTTACTTCAGGACCGAAAGTTAGAAGATTAAAGAGGGCTAAGATCATCTCGAATAACTTGGAAAATGACGCTTGAATAATATATACATATATATATATATATTTGAACGTTATTTCAATCCTTCATATGCTTCCGATTCTTAGCTATGATTAATTAATGATGAACATGTTATTTTGGTATATGATCGATTTCATCACGATTCTTCTGTTAAGCTTAGAGAGTAATTATACATTCTTATTGCTCTAAGTAGAGCCCGATAGTGTTATAAAAACCTCGAAGAAATTCAGTAAGATATCTTTAATCATTTCTAAGATACAACGGTTCAAAACTTAATCTAACAATTGGACAATTTTGTTGTTATGCGATTTGAGCAATTTTGCTGTTATAACCGGTATATACAGGGTGCGATGGGTAAATTGTCGCCCTATTATATTTTTTATTTCGCGCATGCGCGTTGCTTGTTTTTGATTTTGCCGACTGCACAGTATAGTAGGGTCAGTTGGGCACCACCTGTGTGAATTATGATGCAATTCATTCTGTCGGAAATTTGGAAGTTACACTGCTATTCATTCACACCGAAAGTGTTAATATGAACATATCAGTGAGTTGGGGTGTCCATCTGAGGACAGTACAGAGGATTTGGAAAGAGTTGGATGAATCTAATGATCATTACGAAACGTTTGGATCGATTACTAGTGATGGTGACGTTATGTCATTCATCTTCCAACTAGGCCTCAGATTCAACACGGAGGACTACATCAAGTACCGTGAGAAGGTAGTGCTGTCCTGGGCCAAGAGGGTATAGCTGCTGGTAGATGCTAGGTCTGGCAACAAGACTATGTATCATGCCACAGAAGCAGAAGACCCAAGTCATGGCTTTCAAACAATTTTTGCAACCACATCACCCTTTACATCTAGCCAATTCCCCAAACTTTAATTCTCTTGATTATTATGTGTGGGGAACAGTTAAGTGAGAGACCAACAAAACTCCTTGTAACA